TCCTCTTTTTGAAAAGCAAGAGACTGAGATGATGGAGGACTTTCGGATCGTACTCCTCGTCGTACCTGTCGTCCCAAAGCTGCCTCAGCTCCCTGTGCAAGTCGTCCGCGCGATTCTGAACGACATCCTCGACGTAGTCGGGATCACCCGGTGAAGTCGGTGAAAGCGGAGGAGCAGAACTCGGCGACCGATCCCAATGCACAGAAGACTCGCGGTCCGCCTGTACGCTGACGTCGGCGTCGGAGACGTTTTCGACGACAATTTTCCGCCTCTTGCTCTCCCCAGGCTGAATAGCACCAGGGAGAGTGAGCACAACCGCCACCGCATCGTGTGCGTCGTTGCGCATGCCACGATCCGTAAAAGACGCGCCAACGGCAATGGAGCAGAAACGGGCGACTGCTCCGCAGACCGCGACGTGGTCGCCTTTGAGGTCGGCCGGAGTGGCATGGACCTCCCATACCTTCTCGTCGTTCTGCTCGCGCTGGTAAGCCTCCCGCGCCTCCTGGAAAGTGAGGTTGTCGTCGCCGACTACAAGCACAACGACTGCCTCGTTTAGATTCTCAAGAATCTTGGCCAGGCCGTCCAGGTGCAAGCGGAGATGGCGAACTGTCCGCTTTCGAGTCTGGATGCTCGGCGGTTTCTTGCCGCACACGATGTGCATGTTGGCGATCACCACGTGGAACTTGTCATGGCCTGGTTTGTTCACCTCAAAATGTGAAATAACAGCATCAATATCTCGGCCGCTAGGAGGCCTGTAAACTTTGCTGTCTTCGCACAGAGTCAGTTCCGCAGGCTGAGAAGCACCGCGGAACCCCCAGAGAGTCAAGTAGTTGTCGACCTCCAAGAAGCGAATGCCATCACCGAAAGGCTTACTGAGGATCTCTGTCACGTTGATCCCTGCTCGGCGAAAGCCTTCACGGAACGCACCGACCTCGCAGCCACAGACCATATCAGCATCAGCGGTCTCCACTATCTTGGCGCACAACCTTCCGAAGTTAGCGCAGTGAGTGGCCGCCTGCTTACCAGTCATCATGCCCTGCTCGAACCCGAAATTGAACGAGGCGACCGTGAAAGACGCAGGCTGCACAGCGCCAGAACCAGGCGTCTGTCCACCTTCCTCCGCAGGCTGAGAAGCACCGCGAGGCGGCGCAGGCTGAGAAGCACCGCGAGGCGGCGACACTTCGGACGAGCCTCGCGGAGCAGAGGCTGCGGATGAACGTTGGACATGGGGGTACGGCCAGGGGAACGCCATTGCAATCAAAACTCAGTGGACTGCAGTGAATGAATGTAGTGGCCAATTGAATGCAGAGGACTGCAGTGTCACTAGCAAGTCCTGAACCAAACACAGCTGTGGCGGAAGGAATATGAAGCGTCTGGCTATTCAAAATGTTGCCCGGCAATGGAGTTCTGGGAACTCGAAGACCAGGAAGTGGACTAGAGTTGGCTCTGGGCATCCAAAATGTAGCCCAGGAATGGAGTTCTGGGAACTCGAAGAGCACGAAGTGGCTACAGTTGGCTCCGGGCATCCAAAATGTGGCCCGGGAATGGAGTTCTGGGAAATGGAAGAACACGAAGTGGCCTACAGTTGGCTCCGGGCATCCAGAATGTGGCCCGGGAATGGCGTTCTGGGATGTCGAAGAGCACGAAGTGGCCTACAGTTGCATCCGGCCCCCCAGAATGTGGCCCGGGAATGGCGTTCTGGGATGTCGAAGAGCACGAAGTGGCCTACAGTTGCATCCGGCCCCCCAGAATGTGGCCTGGGAATGGAGTTCTGGGAAGGCGAAGAGCACGAAGTGTGTGACTGTTGGTGAAAAACGAGCCCGGCTCATGCCGCCCGGAAACGCCCCAACACCTGCCCGGACCCCCCTGTGGAGTGATCTGCTGCTCTCTTTTGATCCCACTAGAAACCTATCAGTCTTCGCTGTTAGGTAATCAGCAAACAACGAACAGCACACAACAACAAACCACAAACAACAAGCAACACACAATAACAACAACAACACACAACACACAACACATAACACGCAAAAACAACAACAGCAGCAACAACAACAACACGCCGCACCGCACAACCTAATTTCAGCCAAGCGCCCAGGGACAATGAATGACCGTTCGGCCCCCTCACCTTGATCTATACATTCCATGCCAGGGTCCTCCCTCTCCCCCTCCTCATCATTGTTTTTCTGGCCGCGTGCTCGTCCCTGCGTTCTCTGAATATGTTAATCCGCCGACCCCAAAAGCGTGCGCGATCACCTCTGACAAATGTATCAGAACGGAAATAAGGATCGCGGAACATTCTCCACTGCGCAATCATATGACCCAAGCCAGCTACATAACGAAACGCCAATGCGAGTCGACACGACTGTGGCCATCATCGGCCTACATACACTCATCCGGCCTGAAGAGCACAAAAATTACAGCCCCCAAGAAAGTTTGTTGGCCACAGCGTGCGCATACCCGTTATCTTGCGAAATGGAAATATGAAAAAAGCTGATATGAAGTTGGCCAGCGTGCGAAGTAAACGAAAATGTCAACAAGGCTGACATGGATAATCGCCAATGTGCGAAATAAAAACAGGAAGCAACTGAAACGAAATGACAGCAGCTGTCTGCACCGAAAACTTCGTCGGAGCAGCAGCACATCCGATCGACTGCCTGCTGAGTTGCTCTCGCTTGGGCGGACGCGGCACAAATCCTCGCTTAGCCGTCTCGGCAGCTCGCTTTTGCAATTCACCATGTTCATCAAATATACGGTTTCGTCCTGTACGCAGGAGAGCCCATAATCGAATCGATAAGTCGGAGCGGCGATCGAAATGAATCGGATCGGCGAAAATCGGCAGCCGAGTCGGGAAAAGTCGGATCGGCGGAAATCAGCAGGCTACTATGCGTCCCATAAGAAGTCGGAATCCGAATCGGAATCCCAAGTCGAATCGAATCGGAATCGGAAGCCATCGAAATCGAATCGAATCGGAGGAGTCGAAATGAGCCCTGTGTGCGCATCAGTGTGCTCTGCAGTGTTGGGCGATCTCCTTGTAAAAAAGCACATGCCGGCACACAATGGCGCTGACTCCATCTGGCCCTGCAGCCAAGAGCACGCACAGACTGCCTGCAAGAACACAGCTCGAGCGCAACCCTAAGATCATTGCCTCCTGTCTCCCTCACCAACATTGTCAAACAGCGATTTGTCGTCAACCACCACTAACAGTACTCGGATCCACAGAAATCCTGCTGTCGCTCTTGAGCACTGCGACTGAAGGACCCCCACGTTCTGGAATTGAAGCCCCCCGCCTCGAAACTGCATCCAAACCACTCCACTTCGTCTCTTGCCATAGAGACCATGCCCAGTCTGCCTCGGCCAGCGCATCACTGAAACTAAAACTATCCACCGCCGCGGCGCTGCCCACGACGCGTTTGATCTTAAGACTCACCCAGCAGATGATGCTGAACGGCGCCTCGTCAGTATCATTGAGCGCCCTCGTGGTAATGCCCACCAAGAATCCGCCCTGCGAAGCTCCCGTCTCCTTATCCGCGTCGAAACTACCGTCGCTAACACTGGCGACTCTGGCTTCGTATGGCGTGACTGGTACGATACGCGGACCAAGAGCTGCATCTGCCTTGAGACGTCGAACGGCGGAGTTGGCGTCGGAAAGACCCTTCATCACGGCACTGCAAAACTCACCCTGCAACAGCAAGGCGATTGAAGCCCCGTCCTGCCTCGCCTGTCTGGCAACCCAACCAATACCACCAATGACTGCACGAAGTTGACCTTTCTCTCCATATGATGACCCAGCCTTCGGGTCTGCGAGTCGCCCTCGTTTGAGCTCGATCGGTTTGAGCTTCTCGTTGATATAGCGCCCCATTTCGATGCGACCAACCGAACACCTTCTCCTACGATTAACGCATTTTGGCGAACAAATGTGGTCTATCTCGGTAAAGGTTGTGCCAGTAACCAAACTTGGTCCACGTGCTTCTGCGATGACGACGACGACGGCGATGAAGACTGCGACGGCGACGACGACGGTGACGGCGACGGTGACGGCGACGGCGACGGCGACGGTGACGGTGACGGCGACGGCGACGGCGACGGCGACGGCGACGGCGACGGCGACGGCGACGGCGACGGCGACGACGACGACGACGACGACGACGGCGACGGCGACGGCGACGGCGACGGCGACGGCGACGGCGACGGCGACGGCGACGGCGACGGCGACGGCGACGGCGACGACGACGACGACGACGGCGACGGCGACGACGACGACGACGGCGATGGCGACGGCGACGGCTACGGCTACGGTGACGACGGCCACGGCGACGGCGACGGCGACGGCGACGGCGACGGCGACGGCGACGGCGACGACGACGACGACGACGACGACGACGACTGCGACGGCGATGACGCCAGCGACGGCGACAACGACGGCGGCGGTGACGGCTACGGCGACGGCGACGGCGACGGCGACGGCGACGGCAACGGCGGCGACGACGACGACGACGACGACGACGACGACGACCACGGCAATGACGTCTGCGACGGCGACGGCGACGGCGACGGTGACGGTGACGGCGACGGCTACGGCGACGGCGACGGCGACGACGGTGATGGCGACAGCGACGACGGCGACGACGGCGACGGCGACGACGACGGCGACGGCCACGTCGACCCCAACGGCGACGGTGACGACGACGGCGACGGCTGAAGCGACGGCGACGACGACGAAGACGGCGACGACGGCGACGGCGACGGTGTCGGCGACGGCCACGGCGACTGCGACGGCGACGGCGCCGGCGATGGCGACGGCGACAACGGCGACGACGACGGCGACGATGGCGACGGCGACGGAAGCGACCACGTCGTCCCCGACGGCAACGGCGACAGCGACGACGACGACGACGACGGCGGCGACGACGGCGACTGCGACGGCGAGGGCGACGACTATGACCACTGCGAAGGCGGCGGCGACGGCAGCCGCGGCGGCGCCGGCGGCGGCGGGGCTCCACCAGGGCGAGGGCCCCGCCGCCGAGCGGTCCAGCCAGCAGCCCAGCGCCTAGTTGGGAGCGGCGGAGGAGGAGGAAAAGGAGGAGGAGGAGGAGGAGGAGGAGGAGGAGGAGGAGGAGGAGGAGGAGGAGGAGGAGGAGGAGGAGGAGGAGGAGGAGGAGGAGGAGGAGGAGGAGGAGGAGGAGGAGGAGGAGGAGGAGGAGGAGGAGGAGGAGGAGGAGGAGGAGGAGGAGGAGGAGGAGGAGGAGGAGGAGGAGGAGGAGGAGGAGGAGGAGGAGGGAGGAGGAGGAGGGAGGAGGGAGGAGGAGGGGGAGGAGGAGGAGGAGGAGGAGGGAGGAGAGAGGAGGAGGGAGGAGGAGGAGGGGGAGCGGCAGCCGCGAGGTCGCGAGGGGAGCGGCGGGCGGCCCCGAGGCCCAGGCGCCGGCCTCGGCCACCCTCGTCGCCGCCGCCATCGTCGTCGCCGCCGTCGCCGTCGCCGTCGCCGTCGCCGTCGCGTCGCCGTCGCCGTCGTCGTCGGTCGTCGTCGCCGTCGCCGTCGTCGTCGTCGTCGTCGCCGTCGCCGTCGTCGCCGTCGCCGTCGTCGTCGTCGTCGTCGTCGTCGTCGCCGTCGCCGTCGTCGTCGTCGTCGTCGCCGTCGTGTTCGTCCCTCCCCTCCCCTCCCCTCCCCTCCCCTCCCCTGCCCTCCCCTTCTCCTCCATCTCCTCGCCTGACTCGGAACCGAGTTGGCCAGGCTGGGTTGGTGCTTCAATCAGCTTCTGGGCTCCTCCCGCTGCTGCTGCTAGAGGACTGGTGCCTCGAGGAGGCAGGGGCCTAGAGAGACAGAGGACCGCAGAGATCACGCCGCCCTCGTCGCCACGGCGCCGTTCCCCTCGGGACCCTGGGTCGGGATGCACCCCTGGGCACGCGCGGGGGCCGAGTCGGAGGCGGAGGACCCCCGTGATCTGGCGCCCGGGAAAGGCTCGCGGAGCCAAGCCGCCTCGCCGCGCTCGGCGACCAGGGGCGGCGCCCCAGGCCCCCGCGGCCGTCCAAGAAGGCCTCGGGGCGGAGGCACGGCCCCCCCAGGCATCGGGGGGGGCGTGTCTCTTGGCACGGGGCACGCGGGCCCTCAGGGAGGCGAGCCCTCGACAACCCGGGGCCTCCCCCCCGGACCAGCTCGTCGCCCCGCGAGTCGCTCCCGGACGGCCCTGGAGCCCCATGGCGGGGGGCCCCGAGAGCCGGCACGCGGCGGAGACCCTCGAGATCTCCGTGGCCCTCGGGACCCGCTTCCCCCAAGGCGAGCGTCACCGGATCACCTCGCCGATCCCGGCCAGGCTGCTCCCGGGCCGGGCTCCAGGAATGCAAAGATGCCTCGCGGGCCCAGGCCGGAGTGCGTACGCACACGCCGACCCTGGGAGCAGGAACGGCCTGGCCACGACCGGCGAGGTGGTCCGTCGACGCCCCCCCTCCCCCGACAGGAAGGGGTCACGAGGTCCCCGGGGCCACGTATGTAACCGAGCGATGATCGGCGGCGAGCTGGATCCAGCAGGCGGTCGGCTGACTGCAGGGCGCGTCGGAAGCGAATTGTCAAGGGCGCCCGGGCGCCCAGCGTCGCGCTGCGAGCTGCGCGGAGCGCGAAGAACTTCGCGTTCTCGCGCTCCCCCCCGGGGAAGAGCGGAGGTCGAGGAGGAACCGGGGCCGACCCGCGAAGCGCGAAAAGCGTGAACACCTTCGCGCCCTCGAGGGCGCCATTGAAGCAAGCACCAAGGAGGGAGAGGGCAGGAGGGGAAGAGAGGGAGGGAAGCGTCTTGAAAAATACGTGCGCCCTCGAGATCGAGGAGGACGGCCTCTGGGGCTCGAGAGGGCCAGAGAACTTTCGAACCTTCCTGGCCCTGGCCGAAAGGCCCCCGCGATGCGCCACGAGCGTCTACACACAGACATCCGCGCGGGCGAGTTTTGCATGTGCCTTCAGGGAGGGTGGCGATACACAGCCAGAACATCCTTCAAGAGCATGAGACCCTCCGCTGGCCAAAACACATACAGCATCCCAGGGTACCTTCCCCAGAATACACAAGATACACCAGTTCAAAAGGGTCGTGGCTCTGATAAGGCTCATAAGGGGGTCGTAAGGGTCGTTGGGGTCATCGGGCTTGTGGGGGTCCGTGGGCCTGACAGGCCTGACAGGGCTGACGGCGCATGCCGTAAGGTTCGTAGGGTTCAAGCGGCACGCGGGGTCGCAGCGCCCGTAGGGTTCATTAGGCTTGAGGGCTCAAAGCGCATGAGGCTCGCGGGGCACATACCCTTGTAGGGCTATAGCGCTTGTCTGGCGCATACAGGGCTCATAGCGCTCATAGGGTTCATGATGCTAATAGGGCTAACAGGGCTCGTAGGGCTCATAGAATTCGCAGGGCTCGTAGGGCTCGAGGGGCTCATGGAGGTCGTTGGGCTCATAGAGCTCATAGGGCTCACGGGGTGCATAAGGCTCGCAGAGCTAGGAAGCTCCACAGGGTCGCAAGGTTCGTAGAGCTCACAGGACGCGTAGGGCTGTCAGGGCACACAAAGCTCGTAGAGCTCGCAAGGTTCAGGGTGCTGGAGAGGGTCCGTGGGGATGATGCGGTTCATCGGGCTTGTAGGTTCCATGGGGCTCATAAGGCTCATGGGGCTCCTGGGATTCGATGAAATCGTGGGGCTCGTGGGGCCGATCGGGCTCGCGGGGCTTATAGAGCTCATGGAGGCCGAATGAAGTATACGGGCCATGAGGCCTTGGACGTTGTCGAACTACAGAGTTAACCGTAATCGTATGGGTTTAAGGAGTGCCACGATTGGGACGTTCATGGGGGTAGCGGGGGTCGGAAAGCTCTCGGAGTCGGGCTCATGTTTTCAACGGGGTCATGGGAGTCGTGGACTCAGGGAGCACGAGGGGGTCCTGGGGTTCGCTGGTGACCGCTGGTGTGCACGGACAGTGGTAGGCAGTGAGGCTCAGAGGGTTCGTACGGGCTTGGGGCTGATGAGGCGTTGGGAAATCACACATTGGGAGGCTCTTGGCTGGCGGGCGGGCGGAAACTCCAAACAACGGTAACGTTGAAATGAATGCCAGACGTGGCAATAACGGAATATTCAAGCGTTGGGGCGTTCTCGTGGAGATATCCATGGTCTGTGGTGCGGTTTCTTGGGGGCCGCTGGGGCCGGCCTGAAGACGTCTTGAAGCGATCTTGGGCGTGTGGAGACAATATGAGTCACGCCTGGGCGGTCGAACAAATCTACGAGGGGCACCCGGAACTCACAGCTCAAGTTTCTGGCGATGGGAACGCCTGGGAGATTAGATTCTAGGGGGGGGTCCAGAGAGGGGTTGCCGATGTGAGAATAGACGAAGCGGAGTGTGTATACACATATATTTACAACATATAATCTATATATGTATGTATATATATATATAACAGTAGAACAACGCGCGCGCCATGCGCGGGCTTAGGTTATCACGACTGCGCAGTCGTTGTGAATAGACCTGGGGCTGATCCACAAAACCCAAGGTACCCAAGGAGAGGTTCCCCAGGCAAGGGCCGCCCTTGGCGCGTGGATGTGATGGGCCTTCTGGAGGGCAGCTTCGGGTTCGGTGGGTGGTCGCGGAACCATGCGATGATCGACGTGCGACGCGTCGGAAGGCTCCGAACGTTTCCAAGACAGTGCAATAACCGTGACTGCCACGGTGGCCTAGCTAGGAGGGCCCCAGAGGCTCCAGGCCGCCAGGCCGTCGCCGCCGCCGCCGCCCCCGCGGGCGCCGCCGCCGCGGCCGCCGCCGCCGTCGCGATGATCGTCGTGGTGGTCGTGGTAGCGGTCGTGGTGGTGGTGGTCGTCTGCGGACGTGATCGAACGATTGCAAGTTCCGGGGCGTGTTTTGCTTTTCCAGAGCCTCTGGATTCTGGAGATCTGTGGGGCCTCCAGGGCCTCAGGGTCTCCTGGGGCTCTCCTGAAACCCCAAACCTTAGAAAATCAATGGTTGTTGCCTCGTTGGGGCCCTCTGGGGAGCGCTCGGCGAGCCCTCTTGGGCCGTCTGGGTGCATATTTGGACGTAAGGTTCAAGTTGTCCTTTCGGGCGCGTGCTCGTGGGCCCCTCTTGGGGCCGTCCTGGGGCCCACTTGGGCCGTCTTGGGCCCCGCCTGGGGCCGTCTCGGGGCCCTCTTGGCCCGTCGTGGGGCGGTTTTGGGAGTCTCGTGGGCCGTCTTGGGGCGGTCTTGGAGGCCTCCTGGGACGTCGTGGTGCGTTGAAGCTCACCAGAGGTCACTCCAACGTAGGGTCACCCTTACGTGTAATCGATCCGCGGTGAATCCCGATCCCTCCGAAGCAGGGCGGGTCGGTAGGGCGCCCCCAACCCCCCCGGCGCCTGTCCCCGGCTGCTGCGGCCGCGGGCCGCCGGCCGCCGGAACGTCCTCGCGCGTGGGGCTCGGCTGGGCCGCGTGTGTGTGTGCGTGTGCGTGTGCTTGTGTGAGAGGTACTGTGTCGTGTCTGTGCGTGTGAGAGCGAGTGCGTGTGAGAGTGTGTGAGAGAGAGTGTGGATGAGAGAGAGTATGTGAGAGAGAGTGTGCGTGAGAGGATATGTGTGTGAAAGAGTTTGTGTTGTGTGTAAGAGTGTGCGCGTGTGCGTGAGAGAGAGGTGGTGAGAGTGTGAGTGTGCGAGGGTGTATGAGAGTGTGTGCGTGTGCGAGTCTGTGGGAGAGTGTTTGTGTGTGAGAGTGTGTGTGAGATAGGAGTGCGTGTGTGTGAGAGTGTATGCGTGTGAGAGCGTGTGTGTGTAAAAATGTGTGTGTGTGAAAGCGTGTGCGTGTGAGAGTGTGTGTGTGTAACTGTGTGTGCAAGTGTGTGTGTGTTTGTGTGAGTGTGCGTGTGTGAGAGTGCGTGTGGTAGCGTGTGTGAGAGTCTGTGTGTGAGAGAGTGTGTGTGTGTGTGCGTATGAAAATGAGTGTGTTTGAGTGTGTGAGAGAGTGAGAGAGAGAGCGTGTGTGTGTGTGTATGAGTTTGTGTGGGCGTGTGTGTGTGTGTGTGGCTGAGAGTGTGAGTGTGTGCGGCCAAGTGTGTGAGTGTGTGAGTATGTGTGCATCAGTGGGGAATGAGTGTGTGCGAGTGTGTGTGTGTGAGTGTGTATGTGTGCATGAGTGTGAGTGTGAGTGTGAGTGTGAGTGTGAGTCTGAGAGCGAGTGAGAGTGTGAGTGTGTGTGTGCGTGTGTGAGTGTGAGTGCGAGTGTGAGTGGGAGTGTGTGAGTGCGGGTGTGAGTGTGTGTGTAGAAGTGTACATGCGTATATGTGTATGTGTGTATGTGTGAGTGTGAGTGTGTGTGTGGGCATGTGTGTATGTGTGCGTGTGCGTACATGTATGTGTAGATGTGTGCATGTGTATGCGGGTGTGTACATGCGTGTATGTGTGGGTGTGCGTATGTGTTAAATTGTGTATGTGTGTATGTGTGTGGTGCCTATGTGTGTTTGTAGGTGTGCCTGTGTGTATGTGTGTGCATATGTACATATGTGTGCGTATGTGTGTATGTGTATGCGTATGTGTGTGTATGGTTTATGTGTGTATGTGTATGTGTATGTGACATGCATGTGTCTGTTAATGTGTATGTGTATGTGTGTATGTGTGCATATATGGGTATATGCATGTGCATGTGTATGTGTACGTGTATACGTGTATGTGTATGTGGATGTGATGTATGTGCATGTGTATGTGTCTATATATATGCATGTGTGTATGTGGTTATGTATATACGTCTATGTGAGAGTGTGTGCTTGTGTGTGCGCGCGATATGGTTGTGTTTGTTTTATATGCATGTGTGTGTGAGTATATGTCTATTTGCTTCGTTTGGCGTGCGCTCAGAAAGGGGGGTAGGGGGAGGGAGAGGGGCTTCTTAGAAGGAGGCTGCTTCTTAGACGGCGCGGGCCTTACAGCTACAGACGAGGCCCGCGCCTTCTCAGAAGCAGCCTCCCTCTAAGAAGCCCGTCTCCCTCCCCACTAGCCCCCTCTGCGCGTGGCCGCTCCGTGCAAGAGCCGAGTCCGGGACAGGATCGGAAGGGGGCACATCGGGGATCTCCGAGATCCGGCGCTTCCGGAAGACGCGTCGGGCGCCGCGGCCACTCCGGAGCGCCCCAGAGGCTCCGACAGCGCTCCAAAAACGCTCTGGAGCGGTCTGTCCAGGTCCCGGGCCTGGCCCGAAGCTCCTCCATGGCCGCCTGGGCGCCGACCCGGGCAGGCCAGGGCGATAGCCTACACCCTGCGAAATGCTTAAGAAATCATGGGTTAAGAAATTCATAGTCTCAGAACTTGAATAAAAACCCAACGTTTCCATTAAAATCTTAAGATTTGCATTGAAACGTTAAGAATTATCGAGACTCTGCCCGAAAACTTGAGTTTTCTTAAGCATCGCCTAAGGTGTATACAGAAGAGCGAAAACGGCACTGGCAGAAAGTGCGGGCGCGGCCTCAAGAAACCCTCGCAGGAAACCCAACCCTGAGAACCCGCGCGCGAGGTGCACCTGAGGGGCAACCTGGAGCACCCTGAACGCAGCAGCTCCTCCAGCGGCTGCTGGAAGTCACCGCGCAGCGGGAGGAGCGAAGAAACCCGGGATGCCCTGACGAAAAGCATACGGTTTCTTGATGCGCGCCCCCACGATACAGAAGAGCAGAAAACGGCACTAGCATAGGCGGTGTGCGGAAGAGAAGGGATCGGTGAGGCGTCGTAAGTGGGAAGTTTCCGTCCGCGGCGCACTCCTCGATGTGGCGCCACTTGCCAAGGAAGAGCGGGAGAGCAGGGAGGGGACGATCGGATCGGGTCTGGTCTGGCCCGTGGGAGCTCGTCAACTGCGGACTACCGCCTGCTCGGCTGCAGCCAGACAGAAATCACACAGGATGCCACTCTTCGGGGCGAAACTCACGGCAAGAAAGTGAAGGGGGAGGAAAAGAGCAGGGCACAGTGGAGGGAAGGTGAGGATTAAGGGGAAGAGGAGCGAAGAGCGAGGATGAAGAGGAGGGGCGCGGGGCAGGAGAGGATGCCTGCGACATTCGTGTTGTTCTCACAAATGAAAAACCTTCTCGTTGTGGAAAATCACTATGGGACGTGTTTTTCCGTTTTCGAACTCTGGGGGACCTCTCTGGGCTGGGGGACCGTCAAAAGGTACGGCCGAACCTAGGGCAGCAGAACATCCTTCAAGTACATGAGACTCTCCGCATGACAAACTGAAGAACGCTTGAGGGCAGAAGACCAGGATGCACAAGAACATCCAACGAACACGAAGAACACTAGGGTACACTCCCCTAGCTGACCTCGATCTTATACCTGGGTCCGACTGTACGCGATCCCCGGAAAACCTAACCTTTCCCTGGGACCGTTTTTTCACTGAACCCCGAGTCGTTCTTGTGACTGTCCCAGGGCCCGGAGAAAGCCCCCCAAAACAGAGAACACCAAACAACACCAACTCGCTCTCGGGGAGCGTAACCGTGACCTCCTGCCCCAGCAAACGGCCCGCCTCCGTACCTGTGGGCATGGAGAGAGCCGGCGTGCATGAGGTCCTTTCACTAATCCTCTAAGCCGCAATCCTCACTCCTGAGGGGTCTCTTAGGGGCCCAGAGCCCAGATTGCCAAATCTCCCGGGGCTTGCCGCAGCTTGTCGGGAGCTTCCTGCATCTCCCCGCGTGACTTTTTGGGGCCACGGAGGGCCAAGACGGGCCAAAAGAGCCCCAAGAGAGCCCTAAGGTGGTCCAAGAGGGCTTCATCGCTCCAAGACGCTCAAGATACGTAGCCCAAAGACGGTCCAAGAGGCCTCCAAGTCCAAGACGCCCCAAGAGACGTCCAAGAGTCTTCCGAAGAAGGCCTCCTCCTCGTCCTCCTCCTCCTCCTCGTCCTCGTCCTGCTCCTCCTCCTCCTCCTCCTCCTCCTCCTCCTCCTGCTCCTCCTCGAGGCCCAGGAGACCTGGCCCTCGCGCCTCCCCGGCACCAAGGGGGGGGCGGGGGCGGGCGGTCCACGAGCCGGGCCAGCATGCCCGGCGGCACGCCCCGCGCGCGGATGGCCCCCTCCCGCAGCCGCTCCAGGCGGTCCGCCGCCTGCGCCACCTGCCGCGCACACCAACTGGCCATCGCTCGGACGTCCATTCCCTGTGCTTTTGGTCGGTCTCGTGCGTGGCGTTTTCGCCGAATGATCAAGGATGCTCCTCGATGGCCCTCGCCGAAGGAAACATGCACACGTCCGAGCGATGTCAAGCCAAGGCTGGCGGCGCGCACCGGAGGGGCACGGGGGAGGTAGGGAGGCGTCGTCTCGAGTCGCCAGGTCTTCACGTCGAATCGCTCCTGGCGGCGCGGGGAGGGCCCCGGGGGGGGGTGGCCGAGAACGGCGATAAAACTTGGCGGCGCTTGACCCCCTCTTGGCGGCGCCTCCCGCGCCGCCTCTGGAGCGCTCCGCGCGCCAGGCCAGGGTTCCAGCGCCGGCCTGAGACATCCGCGCGGAGCTCCAACAGTTGGTGTTGTCTCTGCTGTTTCGTCTCCCTCGTGTGCTGGAGATTTGGGCCACGCGCAGAAGGGGGGTAGGGGCAGGGGACAAGGCTTCTTAGAGCGAGGCTGCTTCATGGAAGGCGCCGGCCAAACATCACGAGAGGAGGCCCACGCCTTCTGAGAGGCAGGGTGCTTCTGAGAAGCCTCCCGCGACGTCTGCTCGATGGCTGCAGCTTTGTCGAGGCGTCGGATCTCAGGGAAGGGCCCAGACTTTCAGAGGGTGGGGCCCGCGCCGAGGAAAGGCAGTGCACCGCATCTCTGGGGGACGGAGGAGAGGTTGAGGACGAGCTAGGTGCGCTCGCGCCTCATCTGAGGTCCTATCCCTCCCTCCCATCCCTTCCCATTGCGCTATGTTGTCCTCTATCCGCGGACGCGTGTCATAGCCGACCTGCAGCTCCAGCAAAAAGACCACATCTTGTTGGTAACTGTTGTGCGCAATCGGAAAAGGGGAGCTGCGTGCACAGGAGGAGGAGGTGGCGGGTGAGCAGGAGGCTGAGCGGGAGGAAAAGAACGAGGACGAACAGCCGCAGCAGGAACTGGAGTGGAAGGAGCGGGAGGAACAGGGGGGGACCAGGTGAAGACGGAGGAGGATGAATCGCGAAGGCGACAACGATGAAGAAATATTGTGATTAAGAAAGTGGCCCGCGTTGGGGCGAGAGCGCGACTCTGAACGACGCAAACACAGCGCCGATCCAAAATGAGGCCCACGCTGCAGCAGGAACATCACGTTGAAGAAATCGGAATGTAAAAACAGCAAGCGGAGTGGGCCGAGTATCTTCCGGACGCAAACAAGGTCGAAAGGAGAGCAATTGGAATGAGGGGGCCAAACGGTCATTCACTGTCCCTGGGCGCATGGCTGCAGTGAGGCTCCGCGCAGCGGATTATTGTTGTTGGTCTTGTCGTTGATGATGTTGTGGCTGTGGTTGTGTTTGTGATTGTTGTTGGTGGTCGTGGTTGATGTTTGTGGTGGTGTTGTCGCTGTTGTTGGTGTTGTTGCTGATGTTGTTGTTGGTGGTGTTGTTGCTGTTGGTGTTGTTGTTTTTGATGTTGTCGTGATGGTGTTGCTGGCGTTGTTGTTGTTGTCGCCGTTGCTGCGGTTGTTGCGTGGTGTGTTGGGTGTTGTTTGGTGTGTTGTGTGTGGAGTTGCTGATGTTGGTGTTGTTTTGTTGTTGATGTTGTTGTGATTACGCTTGTTGATGATGTGTGTTGTGTGTTAGGTGTTGTTTGATGTGTGTTGTTTGTTGTCTGTTGTTTGTTGTTTGTTTGTTGGTTGTTGTCCTCGTCCCACCCGCGACCTGACCCACGACACACCCGCGACCCACCCCGTGACCCCACCGCGACCCATCCGCGACCCACCCGCGACCCACGTGCGACCCGCCCACATTGCTTGAACGGAAAAATAAGCGCCTGCTGCGGGGTAGCTGTACTATTTGTAAAAATAAGGCCCTCCGGAAGGCTTATTCAGAGCCTCGCAGATTGCCGACGTCCCCGCCGCCCCCTTACTCTTTTCCGCTACTGCGAGGTGCTACGTCTTCATCAGAGTGAGGGTGCCGAACGGTCATTCAATGTCCCTGGGTGCGTGGCTGAAGTGGGATTCCGCGTTGCGGGTTTTTTCTGTTGTTGTGCGGTTGTTTGGTTCTTTGTTGTTGTTGTTACTGTTGTTGCTGCTGTTGTTATTGCTGTTGTTGCAGCTGTTGTTGTTGCTGTTGGTGTTGTTGCTGGTGTCGTTGCTGCTGCTCTTGTTGTTGTTGTTGCTGTTGTTGGTGGTGTTGTTGTTGTTGTTAATGTTGTTATTGATATTGTTGTAGTTGCTGTTGCTTGGCGTCGTCCCCCCCGCGACACGGCCCGCGATCCATCCGTGACCCACCCCGCGACCCGCCCGCGACCCAGCCACGACCCACCCGCGACCCACCCCGGAACCCGCCCGCGACCCACCCGCGACCCACCCCGCGACCCGCCCGCGACCCACCTGCGACCCACCCGCGACCCACCCGCGACACACGCGCGACCCACTCGCGACCCATCCGCGACCCACCCCGCGACCCACCCACATTGCTTTAACGAAAAATCGGGTTCTGCGGCGGGCTCGTTGTATAATTTGTCAGAGGGGGCCGAACGGTCATTCACTGTCCCTGGGTGCGTGGCTGAAGTGGGATTCCGCGATGCGGATTCGTGTTGTTGGTGGTGTTGTTGCTGTTTTCTGCTGCCGTTGCTGTTGCTGTTGCTGTTGCTGTTGCTGTTGCTGTCGCTGTCGCTGTTGCTGTTGCTGTTGCTGTTGCTGTTGTTGTTGTTGTTGAACATTAGTACTTCTAAAGAATAATTATTGTTGGGGCCCCTGGTGCGCGGCCCCCTCGCCGCGCCTAGGCCGCAGCCATGTTTTCATCATTTTCGCGAGGACGTCTCCGGCAAAACGGGTTGGTCCGGATCCGGTTGTTTTGTTACGGGCGGTTTTCCCTTGCAAAAAATAAGGCAAAGTGGACATTTCTTGTTCTAACATAACCAAACTTCAAGAATCCCTTGCAAAAAAAAAGGTAAAGTGGGCATTCGCGCGCGCAAGACGAATTCCTTCCAAAACCTTAGTGTTCGTAGCGATTTTAACATAAAAACATAAAAAATCAATGGTTTTTCAAACAAAAAGCGTCAACATTTCATCCCGCGCGCTCTTGCGGATTTGTAGGAAACCCAACACTTTTTAAACATTTCTGTCAAACGGGTTTTTGTGAGCAACTTTTTCACGCGCTTCGAACTTCTCCAACAACGGTTGCGCACCTGCCAGGGCCATCATCCCTGTCAAATAATACCATGCGGGACACATTCGTTTTTTCTTCGCGCGCGCACGCCGAAATCTTCAAAAACCATTGGGTTTCTAAGTGTAGTAGCCACGGTCGTCCGCATGCCACGAAGTGAAGTGTCCGAACGTCATAGGGCGGGAAGCTGGGTGTGGGTGGTGGCGAAGAGTCGTTTGGAAATGTGGTAGAGCTTGAACCGGCCCCCCCACAAAGTGGGGGTATTGGCGGGCTCCGTATGAAAACCCTGGCACTGGTGAGAACGGAGTGTCCCCACGTGCTAGTAATTGTTGTTGTTGTTGTTGTTGAACATTATTTATTCTAAAGAATAATTATTGTTGGGCCCCCTGGTGCGCGCCCCCCCTGCGCCGCCTAGGCCGCAGCTACATTTTCATCATTTTCGTGAGGAAGCCTCAGAAAAGATGTGATACAGATCCGGTTGTTTTGTTGTAATCCGTTTTCCCTTGCAAAAAACAATAGAAAATGACATTTCTTGTTCTAATATAATCAAATTTCAAGAATCCCTTGCAAAAAAAATAAGGTAAAGTGGACATTCGCGCGCGCAAGACGAAATCCTTCCAAAACCTTAGTGTTCGGAGCGATTTTAACATAAAAACATCAAAAAACCAATGGTTTTTCAACAAAAAATGTCAAAATCTCATCCCGCGCGCTCTTGCGGATTCGTAGGAAACCCAACACTTTTTAAACATTTCTGTCAAACGGGCTTTTGCGAGCAACTTTTTCGAACTTCTGCGACAACGGTTGCGCACCTGCCAGGGCCATCATCCCTGTCAAATAATACCATGCGGGACACATTCGTTTTTTCTTCGCGCGCGCACGCCGTCGTCGTCGGCCGCGGGGCCCTGAATAGTAGCCACGGTCGTCCGCATGCCACGAAGTGAAGTGTCCGAACGTCATAGGGCGGGAAGCTGGGTGTGGGTGGTGGCGAAGAGTCGTTTGGAAATTTGGTAGAGCTTGAACCGGCCCCCCCACAAAGTGGGGGTATTGCCCGCCTCCTATGAAAACCCTGGCACTGGTGAGAACGGAGTGTCCCCAGTCTTAAATGATTGTTGTTGTTGTTGTTGTTGTTGTTGTTGTTGTTGTTGTTGTTGTTGTTGTTGTTGTTGTTGTTGTTGTTGTGTTTTGCTGCTTTGGCTTCGTCCCCCCCGCGACGCGGCCCGCGACCCTCCCCGCGACCCGCCCGCGACCCACCCGCGATCCACCCGCGACCCACCCCGCGACCCACCCGCGACCCACCCCGCGACCTGCTGGCGACCCACCCGCGACCCACCGGCGACACACCCGCGACCCACCCGAATTGTTTCAACGCAAATCGGCGCCTACGAAAAGTCGGCGCCTGCGGCGGGCTCGTTGCACTATAGAAAAAAAGGCTCCTGCGGCGGGCTTCTTCAGAGCCTCGCTGACAGCAGACGTCCCCGCCGCCCCCTCACTCATATCTGCGACTGCGGGGTGCTACGTATCTCTTGCCTGTGGGAGAGGAGGAGGAGAAGTGTAGAGGAGAAATAGAGCAAATGAGGAGGAGGAAGAGAACAGGAGAAGAAGGGAAGAAAATTATGAAAAAATGAGGTGAAGAGGGCAAGGAGGAAGAGAGGAGGAGAGGAAGACGAGGATGATGAGGAGGGGGGAGGACGAGGAGGACGACGAGGAAGAGGGACGAGGAGGACGGGGCGGGGGAGAAGCGAAGCGAAGCGAACGCCGGAGTCGTGCGCGCTCCCTCTGGGGAGCCCGCCCGTGGACGAGGTGGAAAGGGAGGAGGGGCGGAGAAGGGAGGGAACCCAGATGAAACCCAGGATGCATTCCTGATGCTGCAGCAAACAAATCCGTCGGAGCGTCGAGTCCTCTTCCCCCGACTCCCTACAAGTGTGTTCTTTTCACTGACGGAAGCGCCCCCCTTCAATGACACGCCTTAGGTCGGGCCTGTCCCCATACAGAGGGATTTTGGACGAAAAATACAAAATGCTAAAACAAATGATATTAACACACACGCACACACACACCTATATGTATATATAATTTCAAAAAAGTTAGAAAACATATTTTACAATTAGCCTGGCGAAGGACCCAACCATATGCAGCTGCGAGTACCGCACGGATATGAGACGAAGGAGGGGGCACGCAAACTAGGCCCTTCTTCTCATAGGCACCGCGCCACTGGGGCCTTCGGTGGAGCTCCCTATGGGGCCACGAAACGTGTGAGGGGTGTGCCGAAATGGTTGGTGGGGAGGCATGCGGACGCAGCCACTGGGGCCTTCGGTGGAGCTCCCTATGGGGCCACGAAACGTGTGAGGGGTGTGCCGAAATGGGTGGTGGGGAGCTCCCTATGGGGCCACGAAACGTGTGAGGGGTGTGCCGAAATGGTTGGTGGGGAGGCATGCGGACGCAGCCACTGGGGCCTTCGGTGGAGCTCCCTATGGGGCCACGAAACGTGTGAGGGGTGTGCCGAAATGGGTGGTGGGGAGGCATGCGAACGCAGCCACTGGGGCCTTCGGTGGAGCTCCCTATGGGGCCACGAAACGTGTGAGGGGTGTGCCGAAATGGGTGGTGGGGAGGCATGCGAACCCTGCCACTGGGGCCTTCGGTGGAGCTCCCTATGGGGCCACGAAACGTGTGAGGGGTGTGCCGAAATGGGTGGTGGGGGGGCATGCGGACCAGGCCACTGGGGCCTTCGGTGGAGCTCCCTATGGGGCCACGAAACGTGTGAGGGGTGTGCCGAAATGGGTGGTGGGGAGGCATGCGAACGCAGCCACTGGGGCCTTCGGTGCAGCTCCCTATGGGGCCACGAAACGTGTGAGGGGTGTGCCGAAATGGGTGGTGGGGAGGCATGCGAACGCAGCCAATGGGGCCTTCGGTGGAGCTCCCTATGGGGCCACGAAGCGTGTGAGGGCTGTGCCGAAATGGGTGGTGGGGAGGCATGCGAACGCAGCCACTGGGGCCTTCGGTGGAGCTCCCTATGGGGCCACGAAACGTGTGAGGGGTGTGCCGAAATGGGTGGTGGGGAGGCATGCGAACGCAGGAGGGAGGAGGGCGAGGAGAAGGAGGAAAAAGGAACGCGGGGACCGTTTCTTCAAACCGAGGACCCAACACCACAAGACGGTTGGGAAAAAAAATAAAAAAAGTCGTCCCCAGACAGTTGGCCCCGGGCATCCAAAATGTGGCCCGGGAATGGAGTTCTGGGAAGTCGAAGAGCACGAAGTGGCCTACAGTTGGCTCCGGGCATTCAAAATGTGGCCCGGGAATGGAGTTCTGGGAGGTCGAAGAGCACGAAGTGTGTGACTGTTTGCTTAAAACGAGCCCGGCCCTCGCCTGTCCGGCTCCCGCCCAGACCCCCCTGGGGAGTCATCAGATGCTCTCTTTTGACCCCATTAAAAACCTATCAGTCTTCGCTGTTAGGTAATTAACATATATATATATACAACGAAAACAAATGTTACAAAAAAGTCGTCCCCTGACTATTATTTTACTATTTTTGTATATTCCTCCTGTAGAGCGACATGCCCGACTTCAGACGAGCGCCTGGTGAGCCTGCCGCTCTGGCGAGACCCCAGACCCCATTTTGAACAGAACTCACCCTCCGCCCGCCTAGTCAAAGAACAGCTAAAAAGGCACGCTGATGCGGTGAGGAATACAGTCGGGGCGTGGACCCAAGGAACCCTAAATAAGGAACGAGGCCCCTTTTTTCCAGAAGTTGACCTTCGACTTCCTGTCGAAAACCTAAGGAAAGCCTGAGGCAAGCTGCGAAACACTTGAGGAACGCGGAGCCCCTCCCCAACCAAAAGGGTTCCTTCTTCAGGGCCCCGACTGTACACTCGGGCTGCTGAAATAGAGGGCGACTGAGAAGGAACGAGCCCCCTCTTTTGGCCCCGAAAGCGCCTGCGTGCACGAGGAGGGCGAGGGGAGCAACCATCGAAGGACCCTCTTGACAGGAATCCCACGTAGAAAAAAATATGGCCTCCATTCGTGCAATTGTGGCGCACTGTCAAGATTGCGGTCGTTACAACTTGCGGAGGTTTCAGGCGAGAGCATCTTGACAGTAATCCCACGTAGAACAACATATGGCCTCCAATCGTGCAAGTGTGGCGCACTGTCGAAATTGCGGTCGTTACAAACTTGCGGAGGTTTCAGGCGAGAGCCCCATTCCCAAGGGTGGCCGCCTTGCATCCGTGCAGCTGTTGCAAGGCTTGGGTCTTCTGGTCATAGGCTTTGAAGGGTCCTCCACCGAGAGCAGCATTTGGAAAACGATACGGCCCCCCATTATCGTAACAAAGAAAGCTTCTGAAACGAATGCAGGCGGCACTCAGGCGAGGGCCGCACTTTGTAAACCACTGGCCCTCCATCCGCGTAACTACTCAAAGCTTTGCAAGCGAGTGCGCGTGGCGCTCAGGCGACGGCCGCATGTCAGAAAACCGCTGGCCCTCCATCCCCGCCGGTTGCCGGTCGCCGGTCTTGAGGCGAGTGTGCGCGGGGCGTACGAGAAAGCCGCAGTGTGAAAACCACAAGCCCTGTGAATGCGAGAACGGTGCCCGTGCACCGTACCATGGTTGGATTCCCTTCAGGCCTCGCTCCCGCGCGGTACGGTGCACAGTTGTTCGGCCCTGACGGCCGAACAGAACTATGCACCGTGCATTTCCTGGGTCGAGGACTGACGACGCCTCGGGGGACGCCAACGCGCTGCGGTGCACACTGGTCGCCCGCGGAGTGTGACTGTGGGGGCTCGTTCAGCTTCAGGATGCCACACTGCAATGGAGTCTCACGCGAGACGCCTGGCCCGGCCCCCGAGCACGTCTGGCGGTGCGACGCGGGGGGGCTGCTCTCGGAGGAACTGGCGGGAAGGCGCACGCACGCGCAGGCCAACACACACACACACTCTACAGAAGGGCGGGACCATCCCTGGGCGAACCCGCAGCAGCACTCCTACTCCTCACCCTCCTGCTCCTCCTCCTGATCCTCCTCCGTCTCTTCCTCCTCCTCATCATTACCATCACCACCATCACCATCTCAACCACCACAACCACCATCATGACCACCATCCTCACCATCCTCAACACCATCATCATCAGCATCAGTATCATCATCACCATCATCATCATCATCATCATCACCATCACCATCATCAACATCATCATCATCATCATCATCATCATCATCATCATCATCATCATCATCATCATCATCATCATCATCATCATCATCATCATCATCATCACCATCACCACCGCCATCACCATCACCACCACCACCACCACCATCACCCTCGCCCATCCTCATCACGCCCCCGCCCCCTCCGCTCCCCGCCCCTCCCGGGCCCCGCCTGCGCACACAGCGCCCGGAACTGCGCGTGCTCGCTCCGCACCACCGCCTCGATCTGCCCCGCCACGGGCGCGTGGGGGGCCCGCCGGCCGTAGGCGGTGAGCGCGCGCTCCATGTCGTTCACGCGCTCCCAGACGCCCTGCGCCCGCTCCTCCACGGGCAGGGAGCCCACCGAGGGCGCGCGGGCCCAGCCGCGCGCACGAGTGCGGCCTTCCTGGGGCGCGAGGCCAGCCGCGTGATGCGAACGTTCGCGCAGTCCGTGCTAAAAAAACTGGCACGGGCGCGAGATGCGAACGTCCGCGCAGTCCGTGCTGCGAAAACCAGCGCGGGCTCGTGTGCGTGTACGTCCTGCACTGCGCCCCCGAACAGGCAGAGCCCGCGATGACGGCCGCGGCGTGAAAAGGTCACGACGGAAGGTGCGTTCGACAAGCGTCGGCGGGAGATTTCTTGGGCGTCGCTCGGTGGGGGGGCGATGAATGATGGCGGGGGCAAAGGTGCACTTATCGGGCCCTGAAGTCCCGCTTCTGGGCACTGAAGGGCCCCGTTTCTGCAGCCAGCTCTGCCCCAGCATTTATCGCCCCCCCCCATTACGCAACGCCCAAGTTTCTGACAACGTTCGGGCTGCGGGGGGGCATTCCCCGGCCCCGGGACCAGCAACAAAAACGCCTTGGGATGGAAAGCGGGTCCCAAGGAGGCCCGAGGAGAGCCAGAGAGCGTCCCAAGACGTCGATCCTCTTCCTCCCAGGGCTCGAGCCAAACAGTGTTTTTAGCTTTTGTTCCCAACCATCCTGTGGTGTTGGGCCCTCGCTTCGAAAGGACAGCACCCCGCATCCCACCTCCTCTCGTCTCATCTCCTCCTCTTCCCCTCCTCCTCTCCCTCATCCTCTCCTCCCTCACTTTGGCACACCACTCACACGTTTCGTGCCCCCACAAGGAGCTCCACCAAAAGCCCCAATGGCTGCGTTCGCATGCGCCCACTGCACCCATTTTGGCACGCCCGTCGCACGCTTCGCGGCCCCATAAGGAGCTCCACCGACGGCCCCAATTGCTGCATTCGCATGCGCCCACCGCACTCATTTTGGCACACCCCTCGGACGCTTCGTGACCTCATACGGAGCTGCACCGACTGCCCCAGTGGCTGAGTTCGCATGCGCCCACCGCACCCATAGTTGGCACGCCCCTCACACGCTTCGAACGCTGCAGGGGCTGCGATCGCATGCGCCCACCGAGCCAATTTTTGTCACGCCCCGCACATGACTCGTGGCCCATATAGAGAGCTCAACCAACGGCCCTCGTGGCTGCGTGCGCATGCGCCCACCGCACCCATTTCGGCACACCCTTTACACGCTTCGTGGCCCCATGGTGGCTGCGTTCGCATGCGCCCACCGCACCCATTTTGGCACACCTCTCACACGCTTCGCGGCCCCATAGGGAGCTCCACCGACGGCCCCAATGGCTGCGTTCGCGTGCGCCCACCACACCCATTTTGGCATGCCCGTCGCACGCTTCGCGGCCCCATAGGAAGCTCCACCGACGGCGCCAGTGGCTGCGCTTGCATGCACCCACCGCACCCATTTTGGCAAACCCCTCACACGTTTCGCGGCCCAAGAGGGCAGCTCCACCGAAGGCCCAAGTGGCTGCGTTCGCATGCGCCCACCGCACCTATTTCGGCACACCCCTCACACGTTTCGCGGCCCAATAGGGAATTCCACCGACGCCCCCAGTGGCTGAGTTCGCATGCGCCCACCACACCCTTTTTGGCACACCCCTCACACGTTTCGTGGCCCTACGCCAGGCTCTTCTTTTTGTGTTTGCTGTTTGTTCGCTACGTCTTCTCTTCAGCCCGCATTTGCTGCAAGACAAAATCAGAACGAAAGTGGTCCGCCAGATCGCCAAAACAGCGTCTAGCTCGGGCCCTGCCTTCCTCCCCGCCTCCCCCGAGTTAACGGGCGAAGAACGGTATAACATAAACTTTTTCGCTGTCAGGGGCGCCTGTCCCAGGGCGGCTGGAAAGTTTATACCCTTACGGTGGCACCGTAGGGGTATCAACTTTCCAGCCGCCCAGGGACACGCGCCCCCGACGGCGAAAAAGTTGATTTTATACCGTTCTTCGCTCGCTGACCGAGGCCCGACGTCGTCGCGAGGAGACCCGCAACCTCGTCGAAGGGAAGCGCACGCCCAGGAGCCCCGAACACTGCCTTGACCGCGGCGCTCCCCGAGCCGCGATCACGATCGCGGATCCTCGATTTACGATGGAGGATTTCAGCATCCGTGATCACGATCGAGGACCTCCTCGATCGTTGCGAAGATCCTCGATCGTCATCGAGGATCTTCTTTGTTCGTGGAGGATCCTCGTAATAAGACGATGATTGGAAGACCAGGGACCAGGGCTCGCGGGGAAGAGCACGACCAGGAGCCCCGAGCGCTGCCCTGCCCGCGGCGCTCCCCGAGCCGGCGACCGGCCCCGAGGCCCGAGGCCGGGCGAGCGCGCCCGGGTGCGGAGGCCTTGGAGGCGCCCTCGGGCTGCCTACAGCGGACCACCCAACACGATGTTGGGGAGGAACAGGGAGGGGGCGAGGAGAAGCAGGCCGATGGACAGCCTAACACCCGAAACTTTTTCTCGTGTCGGCCTGGCTTAGACGAGGCCCAAGTCGTCCAGCCCCCTCCCTGTTCCTCCCCCCCAAATCGTCCAGCCCATCTCGTGTGCCGGGCTGCCTGCCCGATGTTGGAGGCCTAGAAATTGGCAACAGCACCAACACAAGGCGCTGCCTCCACAGGGCGAAACATGATCCCAGATTGCGGTGCCGATGGTGATGTGTCGGTCGCCGTGGCAGCCAGAACAGTACCACCATCACCGAGATCGGGATCGTCTTCCCTCGGTGGAGGCACACCGCCGATCTTGGTGTTGGTGTCAACCTCTAGGCCTGCGACGATGGCCCAGATGCCGGGGTCGGGGTGGTAGAAGGACTCCGCAGGCGTTTTGTCAGCGCTCCCGGGCGCCGCTCCCGCTGGTTCGGGCTGGAGGGCAGGCTGGGGCCCGCGGGGCTGGGCTGGGATGGTCTGGCGGGCGGTGGCCTGCATCTCGGGGTGTCCGTCGTCGAGGCCGCCCACGGCGGCAACCCCCAAAGCCCACCGAGCCGGCAGATAGTCAAGAAATGCGCGAAAGTTGTCAAATAGTGGAAAAATCGCTCACATGGCATTTTTTGACTATTTTTGAATATCCCTCCTGTAGAGGGACATGGTCGACTTAAGCCTACGTGTTCTTCAAGGGCGCGGCGGCGCAGCACGACGACTGACCAGACAGAGCCGACCGAGCGCAACCGACTGCGGCGCAGCCGAATCGAGCGAACCGCGGACACCCGTGCGTGTCAGAGTCAGCCGTCATTTTTAGAGGCGCCCAGGGACACACAAATGAGTAGACACAAAAATCTGAGTATTCCCAATCTTTTCTTGTATTTCCTGAGTTTTCGTCTTCCCCCCCTAATTCCAACATTTTCTCATACTTTCCTGGGAGACGAGATCGCCGATTAGTTGTGTCTGTGTTTTTTACCCTTCTGAGTTTTCGGCGTTCTCTTCCTCGTCGTCGTCGTCGTCCTCCTCCTCCTCCTCGTCGTCGTCGTCGTCGTCGAGGCCATCCTCCAGCTGGCCAGCCAGGGTCTCGAAATACGGCAACGGGACGTCGATGGTGGCGGCTGGCAGCTGCCGGGCCTCTCGGGCGTAAGACGACGACGACGAAGGCCACGACGAGGGCGGCGGGG